CAGCTCATTGCAACCTCCACCTCTGGGGTTCAAGTAATTATTGTGCCCCGGTGTCCTGAGTAGCTGGGATTACAGGCGTATGCCACCATGCCTGGCTAATTTATTTACTTATTTATTTATTTATTTATTTATTTATTTATTTATTTTTGTATTTTTAGTAGAGACAGGGTTTTGCCATGTTGGCCAAGCTAGTCTCAAACGCCTGGTCTCAAGTGATCCTGCCTTAGCCTCCCTAAGTGCTGGTATGACAGGCATGAGCTCCTGTGCCTGGCCATATTTTTACATTTTTGAGACAGGGTCTTGTTCTGTCACCCAGGGTGGAGTGCAGTGGTGCGATCATGGCTCACTGCAGCCTCGACCTCCCGGACCCAAGCAGTTCTCCTACCTCAGCCTCCAGAGTAGCTGGGACTACAGGTGTGCGCCACCATGCCTGGCTAATTTTTAAATTTTTAAATTTTAAATTTAAATTTTAAATTTTTTGTAGAAATGGAATCTCACTGTGTTGCTCGGGCTGATCTCGAACTCCTGGGCTCAAGTGATCCCGCAAAGTGCTGAGATTACAGGTGTAAGCCATCATGTCCGGCCTCCTGAATTTTTTAAGTTGTAAATGCTACCATAAGAGAAGGACAGACATTATTTTTTCAGTTATAGTTCAGAAAAATCCCAAGTACCTACCTTTGACCTTTCAGCCGTAGTCAGAGCAGGGACTGAGGTACTGTAGTTGGTCTTGCCTGGACCTACCTTTGGTCAGTCAGTTGTGTTGAGGTGTAAGTCTTTATAGAATCACTTGGTGAGAAAAGGACATATGATATTCCTAGAAAAAGGGTATTTCTGGGCAGGCCAAACACTAGACATCCACGTTACCCGGCATTACACACTGAAGGCTGGAGAAAATCATGAGAGATCATTGCATCAAAGCTATTTGGCATTCTGGAAGCAAATTCTACTGACTGGTGGCTAGACCACAGACAGTGATTATAATGAGGGCCCTTGAAGTCATTTGAAGCTCTAACCCGTACCAATTCTGAACAATTTCCTTGTGGTACTTTCAAACTCATCATTTGTTTTTCACAATGAGATATGTTGTCACTAGTGGGTCCTGAATTTTGTAACTTGTCAATTCTGCCATAGAAGAGGGACTGACATTATTTTTCAGTTGTAGTTCAGAAAAATCCCAAGTACCCCCATTTGGCCTATCATCTGTAGTCTGAACAAGGAATGAGGTGCTGTGGACGGAGGTACCATCCTTAGCTAGGTCCAAAAATGTTTGTTACTCTCGTCTATCAAAGTGGTTTTCAACCTTTTTTTAATGTAGTAAGACAATATTTTTAAATCAAAAAAGGAAAAAAAAATCCTGCATACAAAGCAGTAGTAGTACGTATTTGTGAATCCATAAAAATGTAGTAGAAGTATTACCAAAACGCAGACTAAAGGGCTGTGGACCACATTCATGACTGTTGTGGTCTCTGGGCAGGGAGATGGGAAGTGGTTTTGAAAATATAACAGATTTTTCTCCAATTTAAAGAAAAAGTAACATAGGGCTGGATGAGTGGCTCACACCTGTAATCCCAGCACTTTGTGAGGCTGAGGCAGGTGAATCGCTTGAGCTCAGGAGCTGGAGACCAGCCTGGCCAACATGGCAAAACCAAAAATAGAAAAATTAGTGGGGCATGGTGGTGTGCGCTTGTAGTCCCAGCTACTCGGGAGGCTGAGGTGGGAGGATTGCTTGAGTCTGGGAGGTGGAGGTTGCAGTGAGCCAAGATTGCACTGCTGCACTCCAGCCTGGAAATTAAAAGAATTAAAATAATTCCTCCAGAATTAGCCAACATTGATTGTATGGCATTTGTCCTCCAGCAACACAAGGAGGCAGCAGTGTAGCTTAGTTGTAAAGCTGTAAAGTACACCTGCTGGGGACCCAGACTCCCTGAGTTCTGGGTCCAGGTCCTGGTTCTGTTGCTTACTATCCTGGGTAAGTTATTTCATCTCTATATGCTGCATTTGTATAGTACTATATTCCTCATTTGTATAGTACTATACAATTACTTTTTATATCTCCAAATTCCTGCTTTATGTAGTTGTGATGTTTTTAGAAAAAATATGTATAAAATGCTTAGTAGAACAGTATGTGGCACATTGGAAGCACTCAAGTATTAACTATTATTCATGTTGTTATTACTGGGGGGACAGAAATAACTTGTAATCATGGGTATTTTTTCTCATTTAAAAAAAACACATATTGAGAGCTTACTACACATCTGGCACCGTACTCACGCTACTACCTTGTCTCATTTCAGCCTTACAAGGCAGTTATTTTATTGTAGGTAGCAAACTGAAGATCAGCAAAGTAACTTGATTAAGCATCAGTGACCACCAAATGATTGAGCTGGATTAGAACCAAGCTTGGGAACTCCAAACGCCCCGTTCTTAACCTCTGCATTTCATTACTGCCAACACATTTCTTATCTTTCTTAAGCAACTTCCAAAGAAGCCAGGAAAAAATTGCCTAGGATAGCTAAATTTAGCTTAACAATATATGATTTAGAATTGGGAATATAGGAAAATACATGTAGATAAGTAAAAGATACTTTAAAAATTTAGCACTTTTATATACCATATTTGGCAGTGTCTACTTTGTGTTAGAGACCATGCCAGGTGCTTTACAGAAACTTGGTGAAATTCTTAGACAGTGCTGCATGTTGGGCATTCTGTGTCTCCTTTAGAAATGAATCAGTCTCAGAGATATTACATATCCTATGCAGGGACCTAGAACCACAAAATGGCATTCACGATCCCAACTGCATGCTTTTCATTACATGGAACTGGGTTTTCTCCCATTGTCAGTTGTTTGTATTTTACTTTTGAGGTAGCTGTGTATATTCTGGATTTTATTGATCTTGTCATCTTTTGTTTCCTATAGTTTAGAAAAATTGGAGGCAAGCAACATGTAAAACATTTAATCAGGTGACTGTGCAGTTAGGTAATGCAAACTATTTTTGTAATAATGCAAAGTGTAATCTTTACATGTTTTTTGCTTGTTGGCCAGGCATGGTGGCTCACACCTGTAATCTCAGCACTTTGGGAGGCTGAGGCGGGAGGATTCCTGAGGTCAGAAATTCAAGACCAGCCTGGCCAACATGGTGAAACCCTGTCTCTCTCACTTTTTTTTTTTTTTTTTTTTTTTTGAGACAGAATTTCACTCTTGTTGTCTGGATTGGAGTGCAGTGGCACAATCTCGGTTCACTGCAACCTCTGCCTCCTAGGTTCAAGTGATTCTTCTGCCTTAGCTTCCCGAGTAGCTGGGATTACAGGCATCTGCCACCATGCCCAGCTAATTTTTCATATTTTTAGTAGAGACGGGGTTTCGTCATGTTGGCCAGGCTGGTCTCAGACTCCTGACTACAGGTGATCCGCCCACCTTGGCCTCCCGAAGTGTAGGGATTACAGGTGTGAGCCACCGCACCTGAGTGAAACTCCATCTCTACTAAAAATACAAAAATTAGCTGGGCGTGGTGGCACACATCTGTAATCTCAGCTACTTGGAGGGCTGAGGCGTGAGAACAGCTTGAACCCAGGAGGTGGAGGTTGCAGTGAGCCGAGATCGTGCCACTGCACTCCAGCCTGGGCAAGAGAGCCAGACTCTGTCTCAAAAAAATATTAAAATAAATAGGCCACGTGCTATGGCCCACGCCTGTAATCCTAGCACTTTGGGAGGCTGAGGTAGGCCAATCACGAGGTCAGGCGATCGAGATCATCCTGGCCAACATGGTGAAACCCTGTTTCTACTAAAAATACAAAAATTAACTGGGCGTGGTGGTGCGCACCTGTAGTCCTGGCTACTCGGGAGGCTGAGGCAGGAGAATCACTTGAACCCAGGAGGCGGAGGTTACAGTGAGCCAATATCGTGCCACTGTACTCCAGCCTGGTGACAGCGAGACCACATCTCAAAATAAATAAATAAATAAAATTTTTTTAGCTTTTTTTTTTTTTTTTTTTTTTTTTTGAGGAGAAAAGTACACCTATAGCTGGCCCATTAACATATAGCGTACTTGACAATGAAAAGTAAAAAATTCTCCATTTTGGCTTGGTAGACTTTGCCCGCCTTTAGCAGTAAAATTGTTACTCTATTGTTGGTTTCTAGTACAATATGCTGGTACAGAGTGATCACTTTATTTCCTAACACAAGAATTTTCAGGGCCTTTCCTGCCTCAAAGAAAAAAACAGCAGGTGTGTGATTAGTCAATATTGTGTTTATCTCTGTGAGATTCAAATTTTCCTCCTAAAAGCATTATCACAGTGCAACGTCACTTTTGTATTCCTTCATTTGAATAGTTCCTATACATTATTATGGTTTAAAAAAATAAGTCTAAAGGTGGCAATATCCTAACACTGAAAGCAGTGTATTTTTGCTTGACTTATTATTATGAACACATTATGTCACTGCGCATTCAAGTGGTGTGATGGGAAATGATCAAGTCTTCCTTTTTACCAGGTGATCAGACTCTGAGAATATGGGATGTGAAGGCAGCAGGAGTCAGAATCGTGATTCCCGCACATCAGGCAGAAATCTTGAGTTGTGACTGGTGTAAATACAGTGAGGTACAGTGTATGGCTCTATCCTAAGCTGCTGTCCTTCCTAATGTTAAAATGTTCTAAATTTTATTTATCTTTGTTTATGTGGACTTTGATGGTGTTCCTGGACCATTAAGTTAAATTCTGTCCCTTTCCTTTCTAATTAATGATTGTGACTGACCTGCATTAGCATTAATTGGATATAAGTGCTCATAAAACGGGCAAAATAAGAAACAGAAATTTTCAAAGTTCAACAGTGCAGCCTTACTTGTTTGTTTTGGGAAGCTGCCTTACCAATTTATGTAATGTTTTTCTTTATTGCTCTTAACCCTGCAATTTTGTATCATCTTTTGCTTTTATTTCTTTTTCACTTTGCTAGTCAGGCTGTTGAACTATTTGTAATTTGATTTTTAATTTGACAGTCCATCAGTTTTTAAATTTTTCTGTTTCATCTTCCTTTTTAAGCCTAACCAATTTTCATGCCTCTGTAAGATAAGTGTCCATGTGTAACTTTTTTAAAGCTTCAGTTAACCACATGAACATAGGAATCAGAGATAGAAATGGATTAAATATGTGTTAATATACTACAGTCATGCACTGCATAACAACATTTCAGCCAATGACAGATTGCATATATGACAGGGCCCTTAAGACATAATGGAGCTGAAAAATTCCTGTTGCCCCCGAAGACCTTCCAGCAGGACAAGATGTGGAAGTAGAAGACAGTGATATTTATAATCCTGACTCAGTGTAGCCCTGAACTAATGCGTGTGTGTCTCAGTTTTGTAAAAAAAAAAAAAAAAAAATTAAATAGAAAAAAAGCTTATAAAATAAGGATATAAAGAAAGAAAATATTTTTGTATAACTCTACAATGTGCTTGTGTTTTAAGTTTTGTTATTATGAAGAATCAAAAAGTAAAAAAAGCCAGGCGTGGTGGCAGGCGCCTGTAGTCCCAGCTACTCGGGAGGCTGAGGCAGGGGAATCGCTTGAACTGGGAGGCAGAGATTGCAGTGAGCCAAGATCACGCCACTGCACTCCAGCCTGATGACAGAGCAAGACTCCATCTCAAAACAACAACAACAACAAATTTAAAAAAAATAGAAAATTTATGAAGCAAAAAATTACAGTAAGCTAAGGTTAATTTATTATTGAAGAAAGGAAATTAAAAAAATAAATTTAGTGTAATGTTCTAGGCCTTCCCATTCACTCACTACTCACTCACTCACTGACTCACCCAGAGTAATTTCCAGTTTTGTAAGCTCCATTCATGGTAAGTACCCTACTACCATTTTTTATCTTCCATACTATATTTTTACTATACCTTTTCTGTGTTTAGATACAGAAATCCTTACCATTGTATTACAGTAGCCTACAATATTCAGTACAGTAACATGCTGGACAGGCTTGTAGCCTAGGAGCAATGGGCTGTTTCATCTAGCCTGGGTGTATAGTAGGCTGTAACACCTAGGTTTGTGTAAGTACATTCCATGATGTTCACGCGAAGATGAAATTGCCTAATGCCACATTTCTCAGAGCATATCCCCATCATTAAGTGATGCATGACTGTGTTTATGTCCCTGAAGTAGTCTGTTGACCGTGACAAATAAATAAAATATATGCTTTGTTTTTTCCCAGTTTTAAATTAATTAAAGCTAAAAGAACATTGTACTGACAGAGTTCTTTAAATAAAAATAAGTAAAATAAGTTATTAATAAGTACATATGCAATGATACTAATCTAAACATTTCAATGCTGATGACTACAGTTTCAAAGTCATAAATGAATTTTTCATATTGGAAAATTAATTATGGCCTGTATGTTAGATGTTTGGGAATTCTAAACAAAGATGCTGATAGACATTTGAGAGTGGTTTACAAAATTTATTTTCTAATAACTGAAACTTTTCTTCAAATTAGCTTACACTAAAACCCAACATAGTCAGACAATGTTTGCTTGGTGCGAAAGTAATTGCAGTTTTTGCTATTACTTTCAATGCAAAAACCGCAACTACTTTTGCACCAACTTAAATCCTTTGCTGTTCTGGGTTATGTGGGGTGGACTGAGTGTGGACCCAGCACTTGACCTATTCAGCTAGGACCTCTGGGTTCACTTGGGGCTCTAGATAGCAGAATTTGTAAAGCCAGAATAGATAAGAGACTCACCACTATTTGATTACATTCTTGGATATGATTAGATATTGTATTAAGAATTGTGGTCCAAGAGAGTTGGAAACAATGATTAATTTAGATTTAGAGAACATGGAAAAATTTAATTCATAGCCTTTGCTTTTTCAGATGTACCTAAATGAACAGACCTCTTGCCTTTTAATGCCTGGAAAAACCTCAGAGTATGTTGAAACCCTTTTTGTTTGTTTGTTTTTTAGAGACGAGGTCTCACTGTTGCCCAGGCTGGTCTCAGACTCCTAGGATCAAGTGATCCACCGGCCTCAGCCTCCCAAAGTGCTGGGATTATAGGAGTGAACCACCGCACCCAGTCTTGAAAACCTTTTTTAAATTTTTATTTTTTTTTTAGAGGCAGGGTCTTGCTCTGTCATCCATGCTGACGTACAGTGGGGTGATCACAGCACACTGTAGCCTCTAACTCTTGGGCTCACACAGTCCTCCTGCCTCACTCAGCCTCTCAAGTAGCTAAAATTACAGGTGTGTGTTACCATGCCTGGCTAATTTTTTTAAATTTTTTGGGTAGACAGGGTGTTGCTTTATTGCCCATGCTGGTCTCCAGTTCCTGGCCTCAAGTAATCCTCTCACCTTTGCCTCCCAAGGTGCTGGGATTCCAGGGAAAACCATTTGAAGAGAAAGCTGGGCTCATTTGTCAGATAAAAATTTTAATCCCCTATGTACTTACTGCCACTTGTAAAGGTGGATTAGAAAATCCACAATGCTATTTGGAACTATGCCTTTTCCAGCTGTGTGTAGTGTTCCATCGTGTACGTAAAGCATGTTGAGTTCTTTTTCTCACAAGTCATATTAATTTTTTGCTCTTAATGTCTATGTTGACTCCTGTCTGTACTTGTTATACAACTTCTCAAAAATGGCTCCTGGGTTCATATTAAATAATTATCAGAAAGTAGATGTTGTTTCTAGTAGGAAAGCCTGCATACTGTTTAATTGCAAAGATGTCACAGTTTATGTTTCTCTGAATTGTTTTTAGAATTTGCTGGTGACAGGTGCGGTTGACTGTAGTTTGAGAGGCTGGGACTTAAGGAATGTACGACAACCAGTGTTTGAACTTCTTGGTCATACCTATGCTATTAGGAGGGTGAAAGTAAGTTTTCATCTTTTCTTTTATATGTAGAATAAAATTACATAAATATAATCAATGAAGCATATATTAAGAAGTGTTCTGGGTTTAGGGATTGGAGTTACTAATTCTTTTTTATATGTGTTTTTGTTACCTAGTTAATTAATATTGAAAGCTAAAATTAGTTAAGAATATTTGAATAATTATTGAATGAATTTGGGCAATGTAGACATTCAATACTTAACGTTAAATAAAAATCTTTTTCTCATTCTTTCACCCCCAATCTGTTATTTCCTTTAATATTATTTTTTTAACTATAGTAATTCACTTTTAGTATTATGTTCTTTATAAGGTTCTAATCAGTGAGAGTCTCTTTGTGGAAACAGGTGTAAAGAGATGGTTAATTCTTTTTCCTAACATGATAACATACATGACTGTTCACAGATGTTTGGGATATAGAAAGTTTTCTACTCTGAACAGCAGAGGATGAGGTAAATTTTTAATGATGGTCCCAGTAAATTTCTCTGGGTTATAAGATGACTTAGGTTAGTTTCCTGGCTTTCATTTAGGCAGGTTCTGCTAAATGACTGTGGAAAGCATCTTATTAAGTGACATCTTCCAATTTCATCCTTTTTTTTTTTTTTTACGTTAAGGGTAAAAAAGTACCTTATTGATTATTTTAATAAGATAATTACAGTAGTCCTACTATTTTAAAAATTCTAAATTTGTTTTTCTTTTTTTTGAGATGCAGTCTTGCCCTGTCACCCAGGCTGGAGTGTAGTGGCACGATCTCGGCTCACTGCAACCTCTGCCTCCTGGGTTCAAGCAATTCTCCTGCCTCAGCCTCCTGAGTAGTTGGGACTACAGGTGTGTGCCACCATGCCCCACTAATTTTTTTGTATTTTTAGTAGAGACGGGGTTTCACAGTGTTGTCCAGGCTGGTTTCGAACTCCTGACCTCAAGTGATCCACCTGCCTTAGCCTTCCAAAGTGCTGGGATTACAGGCTGAGTCACCATGCCTGGCCAAAAATTCTAAATTTTTAGTTAAGTTAATATTTTAAGTTTCGCTGGCTGCAATGCAACATAGGAGACACAGTGCTGTTTTATTTTTTAATAAAAATTTGTTTTATGTGGACAAGTTTTAGCAGTTGAAAAATATGCTCTATGTATATTTCAGAGTGATTCTGAGAATGAAATAAGGTAATGTAGTGAAAGTACTTTGCAAACTAAGTGCTGGTCAAATGTAGTTACATATGTGTATTTAACTATTTAAAGTGCTGGTAAGACAAACACTGAAGAAAGGTAATTGCAAAGGTCAACTTATTAAGTACATTTTTACTCATCTAGAAGACGTTACTTGTCTTTAAACTTGCTTTTTATCCTTGATATCATTTTGCATTAGCTGTAATATACAAATAACATAAAAATATCTTAAAGGTGTTTTTATTTAACATTTAAATGTTTATTTTGATAACTTGTGATTATAGCAATCATATATTTGTAAAATTGGTAAATGATATAATTATATATTTGTACTATTATATAATTAAATCCCTTATATTTGTAAGAATCATTTTTGTTTGTAACAGTTTTTGGTTTTTTTGAGCCAGAGTCTCTCTGTCGCCCAGGCTGGAGTGCAGTGGCATGATCTCAGCTCACTGCAACCTCCACCGCCTGGGTTCAAGCAATTCACCTGCTTCAGCTTCCCGAATAACTGAGATTACAGGCATATGCCACCATGCCTGACTAATTTTTGTATTTTTAGTAGAGACAGGGTTTCTATTAAACCATGTTGGCCAGGCTGGTCTTGAACTCCTGACCTGAGGTTATCTGCCCTCCTCAGCCTCCCAAAGTGCTGGGATTACAGGTGGGAGCCACCGCACCTGGCCTATAAGAATCATTTTTGGATAGCCAGTATGAAATTGTATTTAATTTTTCCAGAATAGCAACATTTTGGAAATATTTTGTTCTAAGTAAGTTCTAAAAAGCTTGAGGGATAATTTTCTTTGGAGAATATAAAAATATTTTTCCCGAAGATGGATACTTAAAAGGCCAGAAGATTTTGGCCTCAAATTAAAGCATATATGCTTTGGAAAAGCATAATTTTAAGTGACAGCTCTGACTCAACTTAAATTTATTATGATGTTTATGGAATGATCTTAGAAAGCAGTATTATTATCACAGCTGACTTCAAAAAGGGTTTTTTTCTTTTCTTTTTTTTTTTTTTAGTTTTCGCCGTTTCATGCTTCTGTGCTGGCCTCTTGCTCGTATGATTTTACTGTAAGGTACAGTGGTTTTTAATACATTTCCTTTTGAAATACCAGATAACATTTGCATCTTTGCAACTTTCATAAAAGATAATGTGATTACTCTTACTAACATGAAAATAATCTGAGATGGGTACATTTAAATATTTACTAGGATTAATATTATATTTTTCCTGTTTTCATGATCCAGTCACATATATGAGTAAATTTTTTCTCTTCAAGTATTAGCCTGGCTATTCTGTTTAAAAGCCCTCTTTTCTAATAGATGTTCCTATGGTAACACTTTCCTACACTATGGATCGCATAGCCAATATCTTCGAAATTTAGATTTAGAAATTTGGAAATTTCATTTCTTCAGGTCTAATTATATGAGTCTTAAGGAAGATTGCTTAGATGAAAAAAACAATGAACATGAATGTATGATTTTTTGTGAATGTAGATATATGAACATATATGTGTATATATGTGCATGGGTATCTAGATAAGAGTGTGTGTGGGTGTGTGTCTCTATTTATACTTCTAGTTACAGTGCCACACCACACAGGATTTATTTTCTCTTTCCAAATTTGTAACTCTTGACTTCCATTTTATTCACAATATATTTTCTTATGTGTTAAACCCTGTAATGCTTAGAAAGTAGTTTCAGAATTGCAAAGCCATACCTTTGAAAAAAAGAATCTTACTGATTAGAGCTCAGCACTTGCTTAGAGTTTTTTTATCTTTAGTTCAAATACTATATTCAGAAGTTACTTAGGTTAATTCTCCTCTTCTCTGTTAGAGTGTCGTTATGTTATTCACTTGAAACATGGTTTGATTCCTTTGTTTCTGTTTGTATTCAATTTTAGGGTTTTCCTCCCGTGCTTGTTGATTTTGTCTAGGCAAAACATTGACATGGTTTCAAAAGTCAAGATGTACATAAAGATATATTCAGAAAGGTGTCATTTCCCCCCTTCTATTTCCTCAGCCTTTCTGTTTTATTCTGTTCCATACTCTATAGGTAACTAGTCTCACTCATATACATAGACAGATATATATTTTCTCATTTCCCCCTTTCTTACACAAAGAGTGGGGTACTTTGGATACATACTCCTTTAAATTTTGCATTTTTCACTTAAAATATATCCTGGAAATCTTTCTATATCAAAGAGATCATTCTCATTCTGCATAATACACCATTGTGTGGATGTACTGTAATTTATTTGGCTGCTCTCCTATCTATGGAGATTTAGCTTGTTTTCAATGTTTTGTAAATAAACAGTGCCACAGTGAATGATAGCTTTGTGTTACTGGAGAATTAATGTCCGGTATTCCTAGAAGTGGGATTGCTGAGTTAAAAGGTAAACACATGTAGTTTTGTTAGATGTTACTGAATTCCCATCCATAAGGAATATGCCAATTTTGATACTCAGCAGCAATGTTTGAGAATACCTGTTTCTCTGCCATCTAAAGATCATTGATTCATTAGGGTTTTCCAGGTGTATGATCATATCACCTGCAAGTAAAGGTGGTTCTACACCTTCATTTCCAATTCTGATGCCTCTAATTGATTTTTCTTAAAATTGCCTCCACAAATACCACTAATACAGTGCTAAATAGTTTATAGAGAATGTCTGATTTATGATACAAGTGCAAATGCCTTTAGTGTTTCTCTATTAAAAATAAGATTCCGACTGTAATGCAAATTATATATGTTTATTTGTTTGTCATACTAAGAAAGTATGCATGAATTCCTATTTTCTTGAGTTTTTTTTTTTTTTAATCAGAAATGGATATTAAGTTTTGTTGAAGGCTTTTTTTGCCCAGCATTTATGGAGATAATCATGATTTTTCTTCTTAGAGATGTGGCTATGATGTACTATATTAATGGATTGAACCAACCTTGCATTCCTAGAGTAAGTCTCTCATGCTCTTTGTGTATCATTTTCTCACCATGATGTTGAATTGTGTTTGCTAATATTTTATTTAAAGCTTCTGCATCAGTAATCAAAGGTGATATTAGTTGCCATTTTCTTTCTTTTTTCCTTTTGTTTATGTGTCTGTATTTTACTTGCTTCATAAAAAAGAATTAAGAAATTTTCCTTTGTTTCCAAAGCTCTGGAACAACTTGTACGGCACTGAGGCTGTTTGGTCTTTGAATCCTTGGTAGGATTGCTCTGCGAAACTAGTGAAGCATGGTGCTTTTTGTGGAGTGCTTTCTTGATAACTTCATTTCCTTTATGGAAATGAGTCTGTTTAAACTTTGTGTCTCTAATGGGATCAAGTTTGGAAATTGTCCTTTGCTTGTAGGTTTTCAAATTTATTTGTAGATGTGTCTGTAAAGTGGGTGGACACAGTGGCTCGTGCCTGTATCCCCAGCACTTTGGGAGGCCGAGGTGGGCAGATCACCTGAGGTTAAGTGTTCACGACCCATCTGGCCAACATAGTGAAACCCAGTTTGTACTAAAAATAGAAAAATTAGCCAGGCGTGATGGCAGGTGCCTGTAATCCCAGCTACTTGGGAGACTGAGGCAGAATTGCTTGAACCCATGAGGCGGAGATTGCAGTGAGCTGAAATCGTGCCACTGCACTCCAGCCTGGGTGACAGAGTGAGACTTTGCCTCAAAAAAAAAAAAAGTCTGTGAAGGAATGTTGTAGGATTTCTTCTCTTTTGTTGGTTGTTTTACTATTGTTATTTCTGATTTTGTATCTTTATGAGTTCTTTGACTATCTAGTGGTATGTTTATTTTGTTGTTTTTCTTCAGCAGGCAGAATTTTAATTTATTAATTAGAACTACTTTTTTCAGCCAGGTGCAGTGGCTCATGCCTGTAATCCCAGCACTTTGGGAGGCTGAGGTGGGTGGACCACCTCAGGTCAGGAGTTCAAGACCAGCCTGACCAACATGGTGAAACCCCATCTCTACTAAAAATACAAAATTAATTGGGCATGGTGGTGCATGCCTATAATCCCTGCTACTGGGGAGGCTGAGGCAGGAGAATTGCTTGAATCCAGGTAGCAGAGGTTGCAGTGAGCCAAGATTTTGCCATTGCACTCTAGCCTGGGCAACAAGAGCAAAACTCCATCTCAAAAAAAAAAAAAAAAAAAAACTGCTTTTTAAAATTAATCACTGCTTTTATTTTTATTATTTCCTTTTTGGTACTTTCTTTTTGTTGTTCTTTTTTTTAGCTTCTTGAGGTGGGAATTTATTTGTATTCTTTCATTTTGTTAATAAAGTGTTTAAGGCTATAAATTTTTTTCTGGTTGTTATTCAAACTATAGCCCATAGATTCTGATGTATAATGTTTTCATTATCATTTAAAAATTTTTGTAAGTTCTGTTTTACTTGCCTTTTCTTCCAAGAGTTGTATAATAGTAAATTACTTAGTTTCCATATGAAAATGCCTTTTAACTTTAAAAAATTTGTTAATAATTTCTAGTTTTATTGCATTAAAATCAGAGAATACTATTTTAGTCATTCAGTTTTATGGAACATATTGACATTTGGGGGAAGTGGAACCTAATAAATGATCAGTTTTTGTTAATGTTTCATTTGCAGTTGAGAATAATGTATATTCTCCATTTTCAGGCTATTAAGTTCAGTATGTAATCATAAGCTTACAAATTGATTATGTTGTTTAGGCTTTCTGTATCCTTTCTTATTATTGGTCCACTTAGTCTGAGAATGGTATGTTACTGAGAGTGGTGTGTTAAAATCTCCTATCATTAGCAGGCTTCTACATCTCCCTGCATCTTTTGTAGTTTTAACTTTATAGGAACACATGCTGTGTTTCTGGTGTGTAGATATTATAATGTATATGGTGAATTGAGACTTTTACCATTAAAGGATATCCTTCTTTGTCACAGTTAATGCTTTTTGTTTCAGTTATGCCTTGTCTGATATCAGAATCATTGCCCTCGCTTTCATATTGTGTTTCCTTTCCAGATATACTTTCCCCCATACCTTTATTTTGTTTTTGTTTTATCATATTTTCAATTCTTTAAATTTTTTTTAAAATTATACTTTAAGTTCTGGGATATATGTGCAGAATGTGCAGATTTGTTACATAGGTATATACATGCTATGGTGGTTTGCTGCACCCATCAACCAGTCATCTACATTAGGTATTTCTCCTAATGTTATCCCTCCTCTAGTCCCCCACCCCCTGAAAGGCCCCGATGTGTGATATTCCTCTCCCTGTGTCCATGTAATCTCATTGTTCAACTCCCACTTATGAGTGAGAACATGCAGTGTTTGATTTTCTGTTCCTGTGTTAGTTTGCTGAGAATGATGGTCTACAGCTTCATCCGTGCCCCTGCAAAGGACATGAACTCTATCAATAATTTTTTATGGCTGTATAGTATTCCGTGGTGTATATGTGCCACATTTTCTTTATCCAGTGTATCATTGATGGGCATTTGGGTTGGTTCCAAGTCTTTGCTATTGTGAACAGTGCTGCAATAAACATACGTGTCTTTATTGTATGTGTCTTTATTGTAGAATGATTTATAATCCTTTGGGTATATACCCAGTAATGGGATTGCTGGTTCTAGATCAAATGGTATTTCTGGTTCTAGATCCTTGAGGAATCACCACACTGTCTCCCACAATGGTTGAACTAATTTATACTCCCACAAACAGTGTAAAAGCCTTCGTATTTCTCCACATTCTCTCTAGCATCTGTTATTTCCTGACTTTTTAGTGATCGCCATTCTAACTGTTGTGAGGTGGTATCTCATTGTGGTTTTGATTTGCATTTCTCTAATGACCAGTGATGATGAGCTTTTTTTCATACATTTGTTGACCACATTAATCTCTTCTTTTGAGAAGTGTCTGTTCATATCCTTCACCCACTTTTTGATGGGGTTGTTTTTTCTTGTAAATTTGTTTGAGTTCCTTGTCGATTCTGGATATTAGCCCTTTGTGAGATGGATAGATTGCAAAAATTTTCTCACATTCTGTAGGTTGCCTGTTCACTCTGATGATAGTTTGTTTTGCTGTACAGAAGCTCTTTAGTTTAATTAGATCCCGTTTGTCAATTTT